GGTAAGTAAAAGGGGGCAGGGGGCATGATAGAAGTGTGTAAAATTATGCATGGTATAGAAAAAGTGGAGAGGGATCGTCCAATCTTTCTACCTTATGTTGGTTTTTATTTTAAAGTTTTTAGCACTTCCTCTGACAGTGTGGGAGTTGGGTGAATGAAACATTTCTTTTCGCCTCTTTCCTCCCAGGTTGGCCTTTCTACAATGCACTGTTTTCCTCTACAAGTCTGCTTTGCTTTGTATTCTTCTCCCCCATGCCACCCAGGAAAGCATACATGTGAAAAGCCACATGGATTTTTCAGAAAAGGTCTGCAAAAAGCTTTAAAGCACTGCATCAAATTATGTTGAATGGCATTATACTAAAACACATTGTAGGAAGAACTGAGAGTAGCAGGGTAATTTGTTTGGGAGACTTGGTCCTCAAGTGGCATAGGCGCCAACTCCCTGGGGCCCTGGGATTCCCCACGAAGGGACCAAGCACCCACAAATTTCGATGCCAGGGCCATGCACACTGCATGACACCCAGAGCCCCAGGCACCCACAGTCTTGGGGCCATGTTGGTACTCCTGCCACATGGAATGACTCCAAAAGGTAGTGGGCACTCCCTCCCAATATTTCCTGCCACTCTTCACATTCCCTAAATTTTCAGTTACAGCCCATGAAGTTAGGCTGTTGCGTGGATTAAATCTTTGCTTCCTGGATAATGGTCTTTGCCAGTCTTTTTATTCCCCAAACGAGCTTTCTCTGCAATTGCCTCAGGTCCTTGCTATCATTGGAGCTAGCTGTCATTTTGGAGTGGGGGGTGGGCAGGATATGATTGTTCAGGCGGTTCAGTTCTGGAACCAGGAATGATCTGAACAAAATCACGTGGACATTCCATGCCACCTAGTAAGACTGGCATGTGTTTGTGTTTATGAAAGCACAAAGCATTATGCAGTCGGAATCATGCAGAGTTGCAGATTACCAGCTCGGGTTCATTTGGCCGTGCAGTATTCTGCAGCAGAGAATAATTATTTGGGAAAAGGAAGTCCTTCTAATTTAAATGTGAGAAAAGATGGCTGAAAGTTGAGGAGGGAGGTTGCTAAGCAACGACTGCTTTACAAAGGGTTTTTCACTTTCCTCCCTCAGCTGACATTTTTCTTGAATATTTTAGATGAAGGAGTTTGGCCAATATATAAACCACCCATATGATTGTGATACTGTTTTCAAACTATGATTTTCACTACTTTGCTTTAGCAGCAAAGCACGAGTATCAGGTTTTTGAAATCAGATAAAGCAAGTGTTTACTAGCAGTACCTTTTCCTGAACTAGTTTTTCATTGGAAATTACCCACCTGGAGCAGAGTAAATTCTCCACCATTCCTGAAATTAGCAGGTGTGCTAAGAAGTTTCCAACAATTAGAAAATGGATGTAAATTGTGTGAAAATGTCTCAATAAGATGCATTTCCCTCTATGACAGATGCAATGTGACTGTCTTTTTAATTGTAGCTTCTCATCTTTCTTTCCAAGAGACTGTTTCACTGCAGTGTTTATTTTATTGTTGACTTGCTGTGGCAAAGGGTTGAGAGCATATAGACCACAAAACTGCAAACTGCTATAGATTTGGGAAACTTTGCTTCCCATTAGGATTGGTGCTTGACAGTAAATGATATTGGGATATTACATTTGCTCCACCTGGCCTGTGTTTTAATGTGCATCCTTCCTTTGATAATCCAGGCATTGGTTATCTCGGAAGGGGTGTGTGTGGAAATCAGATAGACTAATATAATTAAAGAACCTTTTTCTTTCCAGGTTAAACCCTATTGGGATACCATTGTAGGGGTTCCGGGACTAATCCTGGAGTTTCTTTGTTCCTACAATAACTGCATCTTTGATTAGCTGAGGTTTCTGATAAACACTGACACCGCTGATTTATTATCTATTTCTCGGTTCCCAAGGATACCGTGCATGTTCCAGTCTACAATATGCTGTTCCTAACCTAAAGGTGAATGTTTCAAAATACCAGTGTCTCTTCTATTCTCCATGGGTATTTATCTTTTTCCATTCCATAACCTGTATTTTAGGCAGCTTTCTGATAATAAATCCTTTCTCTGATGCAGTGTGTTTCATTCTTTCAATTTGACTGGCTTTTGCAAGTCTTTTCTTGCCATATCAAATCAAATCAAACTGAAAACCTTTGGTTTCTTGGTGTTCTCAGGACGTCTCACATAGGACATGCCAGCATGGGGGTTTCAAGAGCTCTAATTCATTGATCCAGCAATCCCCACAGGCTATTAATATTTTCATTATTATTTATTAAATTTATTTTAATTTTTTTAAATAAATATATATATTATTTATTAAATATACAGCCCTTCATCCAAAGATTACAGGGTGGTTCACAACATAAAAATACAAAATGAGAACACAAAATACATAATAAAACACAAACAAACCAATAACTCCCCTCCCACAAAAATATTTAAAAATCTGTAGAATGTTAATTAGCCAAAGGCCTGGTTGGAGAGAAACCTTTTTGCCTGGTGCCTAAAGATACTGTATGTAACGAAGGTGCTAAGCAAGCCTCCCTACCATTCAGCAACAGAAACAAGGCATGGCCATAGTTGCAAATCTGTGCAAGGAATGGACAGCATAAGCCAAAAAGAACAACCAATATAGCTGGTTGATTATTAAGATTAAAGTAAATGGCTGATAAATACTTCTTGCTTATAGTGCATCTGTGACACATGTGTAGCCAACACGGTGCCTTCCAGATATTGTTGGACTATCGCAGAGCCAGCCAGCACGGTCAGTGGTCAGGAATGATGGGAGTTGGGAGTCCAGCAAAATATGGAAGGCCTTGGGTTAGCCACTGCTGATCTATGGTGTTTCACAACACTGGCAATGTTTGGTTCAGCTGTTGTCCTTTGGCTTACGCTTAGCCCGTTTTTCTTCTCCAGCAATGAGTCCTCATCCTTCCCTTGATCACCATCAACATTAATTGACATAACTAACCAAGGTCCATAAATTTCAATCTGAATTTACTCTGAGTAGAACTCGGTTGGACACAACATCCCATATTAAGGATTGCTGTCTATTGGGGACCTGCCTCAGACATTTAAGAACTACAGGTGCTTTGGCAAATATAACACCAATTGGCCAACCTTGCCCTAGCTTCTTCTCTTATGACATCAAATGACAATGCGGCATGCCAGAAATGGTCAGATCTCACTCATCAGCTGAGAGCATGCTGGACATGAACAGGGATTTGTTTCTTGGGGAAGCTGCCATTTGGCTTACGAACGTATTTGTGGGCACTCCTCATAACAGGAAGAATTACCTCAACTAGGTGGAACAGTTGTCTGCTAAGATAAAAGCAACTACTCTAGTCAGGGTGACTGAATAAATAAATCTGACAGACTGACGTGCCCAGACTTCACTGCCTCTGCACAGGGGAGCCTCTCCCATCCTCTGCAGGCGAAAAAAAGGGAGAGCCCAGATGTTTTTGCTTCAAGACCCACCCTCTCTTTAAGCACATCAGGTTAATTTTTGAAGGTGTGAATAAATCTCAGGCTGATTCTTTTGACAGAACAAGAAAGTCTCAAGATTACCCACCCATCTCCACAGTCTGTCCTCCATTCACTCTTTCCCCATAAAACTGTGTCATGCTTCATTTCAGCTACCGGACACTGCGATCCAAAGGCTCCAAGTTATGGTTTTACTCCTAACAAAATGTCCACCAAATGGTGGAAGTGTGTATTGAATAGCTGGGTTGGTGGTGAAAGTATGCCCACATTCCTTCTTAATGAGTACTTAATTTCTAAAGAAGAAATGCTGAGGCTCAGGTCTGTCTGGAAACAGAAACATCTGATCTGGAAACCCTTCTAATCCTGGTTGTGTGGAGGCTCCGTCTTAGTGACAATACTCTGAATCTGTTCAGTAACACCTCCGTGCCTTTCAGGAACAGACCATGGCACTGAAAATAAATGCTGAGGCTAACCTCTGGAACAAACAAAGCCCTGTTGCCAGTCCATTGGTACACATGCAAATAGGTGTGAGATGGGGGTGGGAATTGGTGTAATTGCCGCTGATGGCACAAAGTGCTAACACAGGGGGAAGCAGTAATATTCTCAATGTGTTTGCTGGAGGGGGAAGGCATTTGAGGCAGTTCCCTCCCAACTGTAAGATTGTACATTTCCTAAACTCAATCTAATACTTTCTCCACCATCTTGGCTGTCTCTTGGTACATCTTCCACCAGTAGGAGCAAAGCTGAGATAAGATGAATGAATACCTGCAGGCATGTAGTTAGTCGATCATATTCTATAACAAATCTATCCACTACTGCAGCCAATTCCACTGAGTACAACAGACAATGACATCAGTGGCTTGCTTTCAGCTAGAGTACTCTGTGCATGCTACTCATGTAAATAGGTTCTGGGGCCATTTGTATAGCCCACCACCAAAGATGCGCAGCTTCTTCCAACCCCTCACCCGTTGAAGAATAAATGTCTAAAGCAAGGAGCCTTTTCTCTCCCTAGTGGTTCCCCATGTGTTTTAGTAACAGGGTTTTAAATCATGCAGGCAGCTTACATGGACAGAAAAGACTTCCTGATTCAAACATCAGCAGGTGAGGGGCCAGCAGGAGCTGTGCATCCTCAGAGGGGGGGTTAAACAAATGGCCCTGCAGCCCCTTCATATGTGCTGCCCTCTTAAATAAGTGGCACATGAAGGGGGCCTGGTAATGACGTTTGTTTTAATGCAATTTCCCTGATTGTGTGTGTGTGTTTGTGTGTGTGTGCGCGCGCACACGCATACATAAGCCCCTAATCACCAATAGGGGCTACTCATCTAAATAGACAGATAGGTAGGTGCAATTGTGATCTGGAAATCTGTGGTCATGCTTATGCGTATCTTGTGGTTCTGGGTTCCTTGAAAGAATGACGTGCACACATTTTATACAATTTGCGGTGTTGCATCCGATATCGGAATATGATTAAAGAAGGAGGCATAATTGCAAAAATAGTGAAGTGTAATGTTCAGTAGGGTTTTAATTTGAACTTAAAAAGAACTGTGTTGTTGGAGAGAAGCAGCATGATGCTTCCTTATTGAGAAAGCTCCTGGCTTCTCAAGCTTACATACAAGTTCCTGTGTACACCGACATACAGATGGAAGCCAGTAGGAGACATTTTGAGCTAATTTTCCTGGAGTATGATGTTACCCAGAGACATCAAATTGTCAGTATTTTGAAGAACCACAGATGATGGGCAAACAGCTGCCAAAACCACATGAAGCGTGAGATTTCTTTTGAAGAGTCCAGACCTGGGCATCTTGTTTTCTTTTACGGCTGTCCAAAATTAGCTTCGTTTGAGTAAAAGAAATCAATGAGGAGTGCAACCACTTTTAGTTTAAAGCATACATTTTGACAAGGAGCATTGATGAAAGACTTAGGAATGTTTGCACACAAGATACCATTGAGATGTGACCGCTGCTTTTGGCAAGCTGGTTATAGAGTTCATGGGAAGAGCAGACAAAACATGCCTGTTAGAACACTTTCCACCCACACCCGTTTCTTCTTTCAAACAGAAACCACACATGTGAGTGAGCTATTTGCCTACAGCAAGATATGGACGTACTGCTGCCTGCATAACAGCACCGAATCATGATCCTGCATTTATGGAAGGCTCTACTGTTCAAAGTCATCCTCTTGGATAACATGCACCCAGATGGCCAGGCACCATTTTACTGGGCTAAAGAGTGAGAGTCCAGTTCTAGTTGCTGTAGGTTTTAATTCCGTCACACTCAGCTTGCCTCATAGGCAGACAAGGCATCATTAATTATTACAGGCAGCCTTTTGTTCTGGTGTCCTTGCAATGTGGCATTTGTGAGCTGGCCTCTTGTATCACAGCAATGGCTGTGTTTCAGTGGAAACCCAATCCCTACATGTGCTCAGCGTATGCTTTTTAGAGGTTATACATTAAATTATACTGAAAAAATGGGGGAATTGATATGATCCCTCCCCCTTCTTAACACAGTTCCTTTTGGAAAGGAGCTGAAATGATTTATCGTTGTCTTACTGTGACTTTTCCCCTCTTCCTTCCTTCTGTTCAACCTGTGTAGCCAGCTACGATCGGTGTTGAATAATGCATCATAGAAAAGAGAATGCATCACCAGTAACACTGATATTGTTGCACACAAGTGTGCGGCATCTTAAAACAGACCTGAGGGAAAGCAAGTGCACTTGCTTTTATTGGAATTCAGATTTTATATGGCTCTTCTCATGCCATCCAGTTTGGGTACGGCATTTCACATTGTCTCAAATTCAAAACCCAAATAGGCCACTTGTTTGTACAGTGGTACCTTGGGTTAGTGGGACGCGGGTGGCGCTGTGGGTAAAAGCCTCAGCGCCTAGGGCTTGCTGATCGAAAGGTCGGCGGTTCGAATCCCCGCGGTGGGGTGCGCTCCCGCTGCTCGGTCCCAGCGCCTGCCAACCTAGCAGTTCGAAAGCACCCCCGGGTGCAAGTAGATAAATAGGGACCGCTTTATAGCGGGAAGGTAAACGGTGTTTCCGTGTGTGGCTCTGGCTTGCCAGAGCAGCGATGTCACGCTGGCCACATGACCCGGAAGTGTCTTCGGACAGCGCTGGCCCCCAGCCTCTTGAGTGAGATGGGCGCACAACCCTAGAGTCTGTCAAGACTGGCCCGTACGGGCAGGGGTACCTTTACCTTACCTTGGGTTAAGTACTTAATTCGTTCCGGAGGTCCGTACTTAACCTGAAACTGTTCTTAACCTGAAGCACCATTTTAGCTAATGGGGGCCTCCTGCTGCTGCCACGCCATTGGAGCACGATTTCTGTTCTCATCCTGAAGCAAAGTTCTTAACCCAAGGTAATATTTCTGGGTTAGTGGAGTCTTTAACCTGAAGCGTATGTAACCTGAAGCGTATGTAAACCGAGGTACCACTGTATGTATGTGCGCACTCTGTGTGTAAAAGAGAGAGAGAGAGAGAGAGAGAGATAGCTCTAGTTTAAGCAGGTACAGAATCAGGATATCCCTCCTCCCCCCCCTTATGAAATTCTGAGAACAGTTATTTGATTCTTCTTCTCCACTGCAACAAGAAAAGTATGCATATATGCCTGCATACCTTGTTTTAGTGACATACACACACACACTTTCGATAGTAGTTTATGTTCTCAGGTTTTTGGAGTTCAACAAACAGCATTACTTCGACCTCCCTGTGCTCAAATATTGCCATTTATAAATATAACATACACAACCAGTTGCATTCACAGCAGGATTAGGGCCTGTACAATGAAAAGGAATTTAATCAACACTGTGCTGAAAATTTATGAACCTTGCAGTATGACGGACAACAAATAAATCTGTTTATTGCTTATACCCACATTGTATTTTAATATTACTACCGAAACTATAGTGAATATTAGCCTTGTGTATCTTAGATCAAAGCAGTGTTATAATTGGGGTGGCTTGACAGCAGACAGACTGGCAAGAGCTAAACATAGGGACATAATTCAGCTGAACTAAGCACTTTTGAGTCATGGATTCTATTGAATCATGCACACTTTCTCTTTCGTTTGGAGTACCTCTAACAGTGCAATCCAATACAGGTTTACTCAGAGGTAAGTCCCCATGAATTCAATAGCGTTAATGCATAGACAAGGATTTAGGATTGCACCCTAATTTTCTCATTGGATTCTTCTTCCTATACAGCATCCGACTGATTATCTGTGGAGTTTGTTTGGAAGGCTTGTTATCCTTTGCCTGCAACAGTTTGCTTACACAACCCAGATGGTTTCCCAAAATTGTTTCTTATCTTTTACAAGCACCCATTAAGCTCTCATAGTGAATCAGATTGTAAGTCCATTTAGCCCAGCACTGCCTGCTGCCTTTCACAGCCCTGCTACTCCAGATCATTTGACAACAGATGCTATTGATTGAACCTAGGCCCTCTCCAATACTTCTGGCATGGATGGCTGAACCCTACACAACGCTTCCATGTGAAGACACTCATGATCCCTTTTAAAGGTCCAGCATATGTTCTGAAAGTTGCTTTAGAGCAAGGGGTGGGGTGGTGGGACCCATAGCTCTCCAGGTGTTGCTGGGCTCTAGCTCCCACCAACTCCTGATCACTGGTCATACTGGCCTGATGAGAATTGGAGTGCAACAGCATCTAGAGGGTCATTGGTCCTCTGGTTCCATAGATCTACAGCTCTACTTCCCAATTCGTAGAATAAAAATAATACTCCACTGCCAAAGTCTCACATTCTGCATCAGAAGTGCATGGTGCTGCTTGTTTATTTGAGGCTTCTTTTCAGGAGATGCTGAGTACAAACACTGAACAAAGTAACAGGTGTTTATAATCTTTATGTCCTTGGGTAGCTACAAGAATCACAGGATTTTTAATATTTGTGCTTAACTAAGTAACACATGGTGCTGCTTTTTCACTGTTTGTGTGTGTGTACACACACACACACACACAACGAATGAACAAAATGCAATTGTTCTAATGGCTAAGCTAGATGTTCTTCAAAATACTTAGCTGCCACTTAAATCTGGCAGTGGTGCATTGAGCTTCCCTTCCATAATGTTCTGCAGTTACCCACACCCCACTCAGGTGTCACCCGATCCTAAACTCATTTACTAGTAGGGAGCAATGTCCTTTGAACTCAGTAGGTCTTACTTTTGAGTAAACATGGTCAGGATCCTACTGCAGAACTGATTTGTTGGGAATGCTATTCCCCCACTTTTTGCCTTCCTTATTTTACAACTGAAGGTCTTGATCTTTCTGTCATTTTAAGACATTTCAAAACACATTCTCAGAGTGAATTTTGTGATTTTTTTTAAGGACAGGTGTTACCTTAGCGGATTTTGTGTATACAAAGGGTGCTCTTATTAAAGCTGCAAATATTTTGTGCTTTAAATAAGTTGGTATTAAACTGAAGTCAGTTCCAGGAGAAGTTGAGTTCCATAACCTGGGTAAACAATGCTCACTATTCGCTTTGTTTCTGCTGGCTGGGAGGAAAGCAGCAGCTTAAGCCCCCTGCTTTGGCATCAGAGATTTCACCAGGCTTATATTGGAAGCCTTAACAGCTAGAAAGCAGTTTTAAAAATAAATAAAAGGTGAGAATCTCCAGATACTGAATTCTGTCCTTGTGGAACCGCAGAATACACACAGCACACCGACTATTACTATATACAGTTCGTATAGCTGATAGACATTTGAACCTGCTGCAAACTGGTAGCAAAGGGGTTGCCAGGGAGGCATTTTGGGGCAGAAGGTGAGGCCCTCACTCAGCAGAATGAGCAGGAGGGCTCATAGAAAGTACAGCAGGGCTGGCATACCACATTTTGAAGTAAGCAAAGTAATTTACACCATAGAAAGCAAGAATAGAGAACCCTTTTCAGCCTGAAGGCCTTGTTCCCTTTGAGGTGACCTGCTAGTGGTGGCTGAGGCCAGCAGCAAAAATGGGAGGAACAACAAATGTAAAAGTTACTTTTGTGCAGTGGGCTAGACACACACACACACCTCTATCATCTACCTAGAAAAGCAGGAGGCATCTGAGTTCAAGGACACATACCAACCATGCAAAAATAATCAGTGCAAAAGTGAGAATTGTGACCTAGAGAACTATGAGGGCCAGATTTGGAGGCTTGGAGGTTCTCCACCCCGATCCAAAGTGTGTGTGTGTGTGTGTGTGTGTGTGTGTGTGTGAGAGAGAGAGAGAGAGAGAGAGAAAACACTCATTAAATTGAAAGTCTAAATTACCTCACTGCACCACTTACTAGCAGACACTTCCACTGTTATGAATGACTGAGTCAGTCTATAACTTTTGGAGGGTTTCACATAATGATCACACCTACGCACCAAGAAAACGTAAAAACATAACTGACTTCTGGAAATTCATTCAGCACCATCTTCCCCAAGTTATCTTGCAAACACCAACAGCACCAGCAAAATCCAGGAAGCATTTGGAATAAGCTGCTCCCTGAACTTATGACTAGCTCCATTCAAGTGAATGAAAGCAATGTGGGGACTAGAGTTGTAGGCTCACCACAGCAAAGATTCTGGATCTGCACCAGGCCCTAAAGTGCCCTATAAACTAGTGTGCTGAAAGTATCAACACAGCTTGAAAATTCTCATATTTTTTCCTTCTTCCAAAGAGGATATTAGTACACTTTTAAAAAAATCATGCTCCAGATAACACTTACATCATTCTGAAAAAGCGTAATGTTCTACCTGCGGCTACTTAGCTGCTTCTGCTACTTTAGACTTCAGTGCACCACTGGCTAGATGCAATTCAAGCCATGCCTGGTTGCTACCTTCTTTCCAGAAGGCACTGTGCCACTAGCTACATAGGGAATACTCTTGTGCCAGCAGTAGAGAAACCAGAAGGTTTTTGTTTTTTTTTAACCTGGCCCTGCATTTACTACATTCTCTTTCAGCGTCACTCTCACTGCTCGTTTCTTCTTGTAAACAACTGGAGAAACGGGCAAACACAGTTACAAATGCTGCCGCTTGCACACTATTCTTTTAAGCCTCTTTGTTTCTTGATTGCACGCATTAAAGGGGATATCTGCAGGTCCAGAAGCTGGGGTCTCTGTTTTCTTTTGTTAGCATGTCTTTGCATCTTCTCCTTCCATCAGGAGCAGGGAAGCATGCCAGTTCCCAGGCGATGTCCTCACACTTGTTGGCCGTATGTGCGCTGGCAGAGAAAAAGCTATTCAGTAGGTTTCCTCGAAATCTGGCCTTTGAGCAGAACCAAACATTGTGCTGCGCTTGCACGAGGGAAGCAGAAATACCTAGATTTAAGAGCTTCCCAATATGTTATGCAAACATGGGATTCTGGAAGGCAGCCAACAGCACAGAGTCAGTATTCACTGCCGGTGCTCTGTAGCAGCATTAACTGTGGTTCCTAAAGAGAGGCCATGCACAGCCAGCAAAACAGGGAAAAGGAGTCATGCAGGCCAACAGATAACTTGCCACATCAAACACCACTGAATCTTTCCCCGTGTCACTTCCAGACCTTTTTTAGTGCAACCATGAGTGATGGCAATGTGGAGCTCGTTCCTTGATCTTCTGTACATAAACGCCATCCTGTAGGACAAGGGCAATAGCAAGCAGTTGCGGAAGCCAGGGGGACATACTGATGGTGGGTAGCTCTCTGGAAAGGGAGGAAGGGCTGCCTTTTGACCTTCAAATCCTAGTCCTCCTGTACAACAGGATGCCCAGCAGATCAGATGGTGTAAGGTCAACAGGTATTATTACTCTTATTACTGTTTGAAGTGCTTTCCCTCTGCCTTGCTGGGATTTGCACATCGTGTTTCTTGTCAGTGTGAGAGGAGCACCATGCAGCACGTTGCTGATGACATTTATCGGATGTACTCGTCTTCAGAGATGCTGGACGTGTCTTCATCCGCGCTTTCCTCTGAATCTGGCAAGTTGCCCCAAAGCAGTAAGTTTGTACCTTAAAAAGTAAAGGCAAAAAAAAAATTCCATTGCACTCTCTCTGACCAGGATCTCATGCTAATGAAGCAATATACGTTGCCGAAGGAAGCTACAACCCTAGCCATAGATAAAGGCTAATAAACAAAGTAACATGAACATGCAATTTAAGCCTATAATTCCATCTCCGTATTTAAATGCCACATTCTAGAGTGGGGCTGGTCAACCTTTCAGCATCTAGGTTCCTATAAACCAGGGGTAGGGAACCTTCTGTAGCCCGAGGGTCATGTCCCCTTATAACAACCTTCTGAGGGCCTAATTAATGCTAGTGGTGGGTGGGGCAGTGAAGCAAAAGTGGGTGGTAAAATGACTGCAAATCTTACCCTTTACACATTAAGCTACATTCCAGCCATACAAAAGCCAGAGGGTTTTACAAACCATCCATTATCACAGCTGATTTCCAGCCAGGCAAAAGTACTCAAGAAGGGCATGGGTCAACTTTGTGGAGAGTCCTGAAGGCCAGAGATAGGCATGGGTGGATGCATTCAGTCGCTGTGCCTGAGGTTCCCCAACCCTGATATAAGAGAATTTCAGCAAGTTGTAGCTTCTTATGTCACAGAGCGGAAGAGCTTTGAAGAGCAACAACTACCAAAATCTCCTCTTTTTTCCTGTTAAAACAGGTTTGGGAAACCGTTGGCCTTCCAGATGTTGCTGAACTGCAATTCCTGCCAACTTAGGCCACTGGCCAGACTTGCCAGGGCTGATGGGAGTTGTAGTTCAGCATCATCTGGCGGACCAGAGGTTTTCCTCACCCCTGTTAAAAGATAGGAATGGACCAGACTTTGGATGCTGACTCCAGGCAAGTATACCTGAGAGACTCTTCTGGTTGGTTGGCCTCCCACTCCACTCAGCTCTGCACATTGTTGCTCAGAAATGAGACTATGGCGCTATGATTCTATGCTTCTGTTATATATCTGAGGCCTTGTTCTCAAACATGGCAGTTCAAGATGGTTTTTGCCTGAGTATTTATCACTTCTTTTTAATTCATGCTTTCCCCCTTTGGATTGCTATTTTATGAACTGTGAGCTCAGATCTGGTGCTAAAAACAAATTCCTGGGCTGAGTGCTTGTGCTCAGAGGCACCCTGTTCCTTAACTTGGCAGTGTGTAAAACCCCTGAGTATGCTGACCTTTTAATAAAAATTAAAGTAGGTCCAACAAGCCTGAAGTATGTCTAACTCTCTTGGTATACATTTTCTAAGAGGCACCCAATTCACCATAGTACAAGCTTTGGAATAGAACACTCCAAGGGGATAAGAACAATAAACTTTGTGCGTGGAATGAAATTTTCCATACCGGAAGAATCGAGCCTGTTGATTCCAAAAACAGTCTGGCTGTGAAACATCCAGAAGTGCCCATTGTTGCAGGACAGCAAACAAGGTTTGCATGGAGCGATCACATGGTATCCTACGACATTCCCACTAGAAAAGCAAACAAAGAGTATCTGACACACTGGTTCTTAGGTGAAAGAGTAGACAGAAGAGTAAGCTCTAAAAGCAACAGTAGAATGAATGTCCTCATGGTAAATAGCAAGTTAATAAAACAGGATCCCACCCCATCCAGTAAAACTAGTTGTGAATGTTTGACTAAATACTGAGCAAGATGCCTTTGGGAAACAGTCCAGAAATAGCCTGTGTGTTCCGCCTGAAACTTTCTTTTAACCCCCAAATGGGTATCTATATTATGAATGTATTAACAACAGATGTTGCCTGTTCTTAAATATAAAACCTATTTTACAGAACATAAGCTCACCTCACCTCATATCACAAAAATGGGAAAATACTGACCTACTGATCCCTGTGGCTCTAGAAAGCATGGGATATATTGATTATTGATGTCATGACAAATTCATACAGAGATGACTAAAACCAGGACCATTTTATGGTAGCTGATAGATTTTTAGAATAAAAGCCATTAAATTGAAGAAAATTGAATAGATATGAATCTATACTGAACTTCTCTACATTTTCTCTGATTTGGGGGTGGGGGACACAAGCCACAGGGTAAAATCATGATTTGCTAATTATTGTGCTGTTTCATGAATATCTAATAAGCAGCCACAGAGAAGGCTATCTTCTGCCCCACTGGCAATCTAGCTACCTTGATGTGTGCAGTATTGTACTCAAATTCCTTTGGGTTTATGTATTTCAGCTACTACTGCCCCCTCCCTATTTTAACCCTGTCCCTGTTCCATCAACAGCATACTGACATGCAGAAATTAAGGAGGAAAAACTCCTTCCATCTCTGCACAATGAAAAACTTCACCTGCCACATTTCTGCCTGATTGCTATTAAAGCACAGAATGAAAGCCAGTAAAAAGGTGGGCAACACTACAAGTGAAGATAACACATGCCAATACTGTAACCTATTCTACTTTGTACTACCATAGTTTTGGAAATCCTGAGGATATCAGAACAGTCCAGTCATCCCAAGTAAATCTAGGAGCTCTTTATGCCAACCATTTTATTGCTGGAATTTATCTTGGACATTGTCAGCCAAGGACTTCTGTGATGATTGATAGTTAAATTCAAGCGAATGTTAGATAATCAGGTTCGCTTCAGGCTCTTGCACACAAATGAATGAAGAGGTAGCGGCTGCACAGCTGTTCAAAACACTATGCTAAGTTAAACTGCAGCATTACTTACTTACCATTTCAAACAGGCCACATTCTTCAGTTTACATTTGCAGATTTCTGTGAAATAGCAGTTTCCAATGAAGCCAACAGTACTGGTGGGAGAAATAGACTGCAGGTAGTTAAAAATGAACTTGATCACAGTTTCACAATGTGAAGTATTGTAGCAATAAAAGTTCCAGCAGAACGCTATTCCCTTTGTTTATTGTTAGTTTACAAATCTATATGTGCAAACAGCCATTGTAAACCTCTCTTTGCTAACAGCCATTGTAAGCAAGGCAATATACGACATAACTGTACATTGATCCAGCTTTTAGTTTAATGAGTTTTGATAGGTAGTCTTTTCCTTGCATTGTCTCTTCAAAAATGATCGAGCTGAGTCGCCTGTTGGAGAAAACACTTTAGCAAACCCTATAAAGCTGTGATGCCCATGACTTATATGAAATGCTGTTTCACTCTAATTAAGACAAGAGGCATTCGTTATCGGCTCCTATGTTGCAAGGAGGGGAAACTCTTGGCCCATGAGATGCTAATGAATTCCAACTCTTATCAGCCTCAAGAAACATGGCCAATGGTCACCACTCCACACTCTGAGTAGTAGTGTAGGGAGCTGCAGGAGACACAGAGGGACAGGAAGCAGTGCCTCCCTTCTTTCTGTGCTGGGCATGGAATAGTCCAAGTGTCCTTCACAGGCAGAAATACAGGGGGTTGCTGGAGGGACAGACGAAGTGCTCTGTCCTTGTGCCTCTTAACAGTCCTCTCACCTGTCTAGGTAAGTGCTTAAAGGGAAAGTTTGGATCAGGCTATAATCCTCTTCATATTTACCAGAAAACAAATCCCAGTCCACTCAGTGGCATTTACTTCCAACTAAACATGCATAAGATCACATTGTAAAAAGGTAAAAGGTAAAGGTACCCCTGCCCGTACGGGCCAGTCTTGCCAGACTCTGGGGTTGTGCGCCCATCTCACTCAATAGGCCGGGGGCCAGCGCTGTCCGGAGACACTTCCGGGTCACGTGGCCAGTGTGACAAGCTGCATCTGGCGAGCCAGAGCCGCACATGGAAACGCCGTTTACCTTCCCGCCAGTAAGCGGTCCCTATTTATCTACTTGCACCCGGGGGTGCTTTCGAACTGCTAGGTTGGCAGGCGCTGGGACCGAGCAACGGGAGCGCACCCCGCCGCGGGGATTCGAACTGCTGACCTTTCGATCGGCAAGCCCTAGGCGCTGAGGCTTTTACCCACAGCGCCACCCGTGTCCCTAAGATCACATTGTAAGAAAGCAATTTTCTTCCAAAGTGGGCCTAGTTCTGAAGCAAATTTTCCTACAAAAGCTCCATTAGTTTAAAGGATTGCACCACATGACACTAAGAGGTTTCAGGATTGTTGCCTAAGAGCTTGCAAAAGGAGCAAATCAGATAAGAGGTCAAAACTGCCTTCGGCACAAAAACAGTTTGAACCCTGTAGTTCAAGCCATTGTGATCATTCCACAATAGCTAAGAGAATCACTATTGCTCTTTAGTAACAATAGATTAGTCTGCTTCAACCCTAAAAACATCTCCAAATTGTGTGACCCAGCCTCCTGGTGTAGCCAGCCAGGTGGAAGAGTACCAGCCAGTGCAATATGTTACCATAGAGCTTCCGTCCAAGAATTAGTCTGTTGATATTTGTTACTCAATACAGCAATTTCGTTTCTGGTTCTCATGATGAAGCAGAGGGAGATATGGGCCCTACAGCCAAGCGTGACCATTCCATCAGCGTTGCAGCCCAGAGCCACTTTACCTATTGCTAGCCATGAATCATAGCAACAGAATGAGATGAACAGGTGTAGAAGACTTATTAAGAGTGCCGACAGCATCCTGTACAACAGAGGAAGCGACAACCAATCATTCCATCGGCACCTGCAACTGAATAGTTTTCAACAACCATTAATCTGTGTTTGCTCTTGGATGTGTGTTCCTTTGCTTACAAATGAAGCAGTCTGATCATTACTGCATTCCTGACAGGATTAAACAGTTTTTCTGTATAATTCACAGCAAACAGACCTCTTCCCAGAGCTTTTCTATATTAGACAGAAAATTAAAAACTATCCCTGGGAGTTGCCATGGTAGATAGGATTCAGGTGGCAGGCAGCTACTACCAATAATCAGTTATAGTGTTGCCATTTTTTATTTAGAGTTTCAAAATGTAGATGCTCCTCCACACTTAAGCTCTCCCTTAACCGCTCAGCCCTAACAGAGTACAGTACCCCCGGCTGCCATGCTAATCAATTATTACATTATAAAGAAACCAATCATGATAAATAATTTCCCGAGGCACTAAAACATAGCTTTCCTTTTAATATCGCAGTTTGAAGTAAGAGGTTTGCTGAATTCCATTAACACATTTCTGTAATAGCAATAGTCAGCGTTGTTTCATTGTTCAACATTATCATAGAAATACCATTTGTAACCACACAGAATAAATTCAATTAAGGTTTTGTCAGTTACTTAACATTTATACCATATAATATCGAAGTGTGGGGAAAGTCTCAGCTAAGAAACATTTCTGTCATTTGATTAAAATATATATATTTACTTGTATTGAATGAATCTTGATGTTGGCTTTTGGAAGACTTTTAATTTCAAGCTGTTTTGTGTCATTTTTAACAACTCGTTTTACACTTTGCAGTTCAAAATTGTTTTACTCTTTGATTTTATATTTGCTCTCTTGAAATCTGTACGTTTCCCAGAGCACTGATATACATGGGGCAGGAGAGATAATAGCTCAGTACTAGAGCACAAGCTTTTCATGCAGAAGATCCCAGGTTCACTCACCAGCATTTGCAGGCAGGGCTAGGAAAGACTCTGAAACCTTGGATAGCCACTGCCCACCCTTATAGACCAGTGTTGGCCAACTGTGTGTTCCAGATGCCCTCTCATTGTGACCACTGACCATGCTGCCTGGGGCTAATCAGAGTTGGCTACCTTGGTGTAGACAATACTGAGCTAGACCAATGTCTTCTACGTCTGTTCATCTCTTATGAGTCCATATAACACAGATTCCTATGTATATATTAAACAATAATAAATTTCCAGTTCTACCTACCTGAAAGCCAAGTGGAGTTTCCTTTGGCCTTGTATATCAGGCATCCCCAACCTGCGGCCCGCCCAATGTTTTGGCCTACATCTCCCATGATCCCTAGCTAACAGGACCAGTGGTCAGGGATTATGGGAATTGTAGTCCAAAACATCTGGAGGGCCGAAGGTTGGGGATGCCTGTTGTATATCTTCTCAAATAAATTTCCAGCAGTACTGGCTGGCCATTTTATTCTCTGGGAACCCAGTTAATAATGATAGCAAAATTTAGATTCTAAAGGGCTGTCAGATGGAAGATGGAGAACGCTTGTTTTCTCTGGTTCTGGAGGGTTGGACCACCAACCCTCTTTGTTCCTTGTTGCCCACACTAATGGATTTGAGTTACAAGGAAGGAGATTCTGACTAAACATCAGGAAGAACTTTCTGACAGTAAAAGCTGTTTGACAGTGGAACAGATTCCCACAAGGTGGTGGACTCTCCTTGGAGGTTTTTAATGAGAGGTTGGATGGCCACCTATCATGTATGGTCTAGCTAAGATTCCTGCATTACATTGTTGGACTAGATGGCCCTTGGGTCCCTTCCAACTCTATGATTCTATTATTCTATGATTTGTCAGAAACATTAAGCCTTCCACCCCCAAGTATAGGCCATCTTTTTATCCATATGAATGATTGAATGTGCAATCATATTGCTGAAGCTTGAGTAAGGCACGCCGATGGCACTAGCTCTCTGTGACAAAAGTTCCATTAGTTTAGGGTTCCCTTAAGAAGTTTTGATTAAATGTGATTATTATTTCCTACATCTACAGTATATTAATGTCGTCACCAATGAAACTTGCCGCCTTCTTCCAACACTCCTTCCTTCCTTTTCTCATGCTTGAAAGTTGCACTTTGATTCACCATCACTGAGGATGTAGGAAAGCAGATACTATGTCTTCCTGTGGTTTATACAACACCCCCCATTGTGCTTTTGACTGTTACCACAACAAATACTGTAGACCAGAAACTGACTATTAAGAGAAGTGAAAGTGACAGTTCTAGCATACTGCCACTAAGTTCTCCTACTGTTACAGCGTTGGTGGTGCTTTTCTAATATTAGAATCATGCCCCGCTTTCATAATTTAAGATGATTAAGGAAGACAGACTACACAGGCTGCTGTGATTTCCACAGCTGAACATAACCGAAGTTGTGCAGGCCTGCTTTAGAAAGCCCATGTTCTGAATATTTTATTTTGACCTCAAGTCTTAGATTCTGCATTTTTACTGAATGAAAATACTTTCCTACATTATGGCAGATATTATAAGGGCTGTATGCCACATGACTGCATGAAAGACCCAGAAGGACAGAAAAGGTTAAGACATACCTCTTTTCATAGTCCATGCACACATGTGAGTTGGGACAGCAGCCACAGCATTTGCAACCTGGCAGATCAATTTAGATGATTGTAGTGTAGTGTATCCTGCCAAGACCCTTCATTAGTATTTTTATTTATTGCATTTATATCCCACTTTTCCTCCTAGCTCAAGGCAGCATACAGGGGTCTTCCTGTGCCCTTTTCAACCTCACAACAACCCTGTGAGGTAGGTTTGGTCAAGAGACAGTGACTGGCCCAAGCTTTGTCTTTATGGCTACTTTGAATTTTGTGTGCCAGATCCTAGTCCAGCACCTTAACCGTTACACTATACCAAGTTAAGAATGAGAAAGACCACCAAAACTAGACCTTAGACCTAAGGCATATAAGTCACTATGGTTCAGGGGCAATGAAGTACAGTGGTACCTCAGGTTAAGAACTTAATTCATTCTGGAGGTCTGTTCTTAACCTGAAACTGTTCTTAACCTGAGGTACCACTTTAGCTAATGGGGCCTCCCGCTGCTGCTGCGCTGCCGTGCGATTTCTGTTCTCATCCTGAAGCAAAGTTCTTAATCCGAGGTACTATTTCTGGGTTAGCAGAGTCTGTAACCTGAAGTGTCTGTAACCCGAGGTACCACTGTATAACCTTGAGGTTGTTGTTTTTAAAAAAATGTGTGAGAGATGCCAAGCAATATACTTACTGCGGAACAGAAAATTACAAGATTCTCTGAGTCTCCTTGTGTTGACTCACCTGGTGGGAGGGATGTCTGTGGAGTAGAGGTCTGTCTCTGTGTCAGCCAGGAGAACAGCTTTCATGCCCCGGGAACTTAGCACTTGCTGGCAAAACCTGCAGCACAGCACAGTTACACATCTGTCTGCAAAACTGCAGCTGCTGGTGGACATGGCAAGGCCAGTCTGATCCAGAGGAGATTCCAGGGCGCCCCTGTGCTTCTTTCAGTAGGGTAGAAAAATAATTTGTCTTCTGGGGCCAGCAAAGTCCTTCTCCCCCACAGGACTTACTGGCACTCTTAGTTTGTCAGCTTTGACTACCAGCCCTCTTTGTTCCTTGTTACCCACACAGATTAAAACCCTTATCAAGTGTGGTGATGGTCCTTCCAATCTTCTGCTGGAGGCTACCTAATCAGCATTAAACAATATTAATTATTAAATTGAGGGAGATTTTCTCCCTTCCCCAATCCAAGTCTGTTTCCCTTATTTAGTTACAATCTATTTCTTCAAATATATATGTCCCTTGATTGCAAAGAAAATAAGTGATATACAAAAAGCTAAGACAGTAAAATCAAGAAAATTTTCACATATTTTAAAACATTCAAAAAGTTAAAATGCTAGAAGTGATTGAAATCCACACCAGCATTTCTAAGCATCTGTGAGAGCTTGCGCAGACAAGAACTAATTTAGCTGGCCGGGAAAGGAAGGCAGCGAAAGCACCTGGTTGATATCAATTGGCAGGGAGTTCCAAAGTTTAGTTGCTGCCAAATGCGTGAACGGGTGTTATGTGGCACCTGCAGTAATGCTAATTCTGCTTTATTTCACTGCCTACATCCCGGGGTCCTTCCTATCATTCCCTCCTCCCCAACCACCGAGGGCAAGAAACATGCCCGCCTCCCAATTAATCCTACTGCCCCCAATTTAGGATTCTTTAATTCCTCCTCAGCCACTCACTGACTGACTCCGGATTCCCCCTGCCTCCTGACAGCGACCCCAACCTGGACGGCTCCTTTCTTTACGTGCGCGAGGGATGCTCAGAAGCAAGACCTCGCGTCGCCTCCCAGTCCCCTGTCAGTTTGAATCTGCGGCTTTGCCTCCCATTGGGGGGAATCTGGCCCGCCTCCGGCACCTGATTGGTAAAAAAGACAACAACCCACGTCTCCCCGCTTGCCATTGGATAAATTGACCATCTCTCGTTCCTACCTACGTGCGGGGCATGAGGACGCGCCCCTTGCTTCCCATTGGTCCACACGGGGCTCGTATTTGCATGCCCCGCCCCTTCGTGGTCGCAACCCGCTTCTGTCCCCTCCGAGCATTCTGAGTGGCCCCGTCTCCGTCCTGGGTGGGCGGTGCCAATACGGAAAAGTGGCGGGACCGAGGCTGAGGAAGGAGGGAGGCGAGGCGCGGCTATTGGCTGGAGCGCCCGCCAGCTTTCGGAACCTCCCCTCCCGATTGGTGCTCCTCTGTGGAATGGGCGGGGGCGCTGGAGCGGGGCTGCGGAGGGGAGCGGACCGTGGGAGCAGCGGGTGGCCTGAGGAACGCGCCTCATGGGGGGAAAGGACTCGCCGTCCGAGCAGCAGCACTGCAGGTAACAGTCGCGTCCGGGACGGAGGAATCGCGAGTTCGGGGTGAGCCCGTGGCAGATTCCCCGCGGTAGATCCCCTATCCCATAATATCCCCTTAGCGGGAACCGCCCGCCTTTTCCAACTTGGCTGCAATTCGTGTAATGCTAGCCTCCCGCCAGCACAAGGAAGCCCACTCCTTCCAGAAGGCTGTACAGCAGCAGTCTCCATCCTATAATACTCTTCCCGCGCGCGTGTGTCTTGTCTGCCTGGTTCCCTTGCTAGCCCGCAGCGAGCACAGGCGCCCTGCTGGAGCCGTCCCATGTTCCAGTCCACCAGGAGAGGGTCGGTGACCCATCCATCCCATAATATTCCCCACTGCGGCAAGCGGGGGGTGGGGGGAGCCGGACTCCCTGCATCCCGTACTCGCCCCGAGGGAGAAGCATTCCTCCACAAATAGCCACAGCCCCGTCGAAGCCCAGCTCTTTTTAAAGGGATCCTCACGCATCCCCGGAGAAGGCAGTTCTCTGCGCTCGCAAACGAGCCTAGAAGCGGTTTCATTCCAGATCAGACAGTCGGTCCAAGCTACGAAGCTCAGCGGCGTCGGCACAGACTGGCAGCGGCTCTCCGAGCTTTCAGGGGGGAACCTTTCCTTCCCGGCCCTACCTGGAGAGGCACCGGATGCTCCTACCTGGAGCATCTGGCATGCGAAGCGTGTGCTCTGCGGATTCCCGAACTAAGTCCGCGATACTCTGATTCTCAGAAGATAGTCCCAGAGCAGTGTATTCCTCCTTCTCAAATATAGGTCTTAGTTCGTAATATTCCTGGGTGAGCAGCTCCTGTGGAGGGATTCCATTGCCCCATTAAGCTAGTTGTCTAGTGTTACTTGCCAGACAATAATATACCTACCTTCTCAGCCTCCCAGGCCATAAACCCTTTTCCTAGTCTGATGCATTTCCTCTTTACATCATCTCCCTGAAAAGTGCAGCACCAAGAAGGAAAGGCAGGGCTGGATTCCTAACTTCCCGTAGATCAGATCTGTACACTTACTGTGATCCACCAAGCTGAGTACAGCTTACCATGTGCAATGGTTTGCTGTGGACTCAGTAAACCTTCTGGTTTTGCTTGGGACTATTGGGCGGGTGGCAGATGCCAGATTCTCAAGCACTTGAACCAACTAATTGAATGTTTTCAGCTTGGTGGGTCACAAGTTGTGCAAGCCTATGACATAAATAAGGACCGAGAGAGGAAAACAGCATATATCCTTCAAATGTTGCTGCATTTGACTTTTGAATTGAACAGCTAACTTCTTGTAAAGGAGAAAGCACAGCCTTGAGCTTGCAAAAAGTAAAGGTAGCTGTATTGTACCATGAGAAAAATTCAAAAAGTATATTAGCACAATACTTTTATTAGGCCAACCAAAATATCACAAAATAGTGTGCAAGGTTTTGAGTTCTTCAGAACACTACATCAGGGTAGACTTGGGATGGTGGCTATGGTTATGCTTCTTCTTCCCAGCCAGTCTTGTTGGAATCTGATAACATCCATGGCACCTAAAATGCCTCATTGAATGTCTGCTGTCTTATTTCCACATTCTCCCTTGAGACTCTCACTCATGGGCGTCACCATCATTAATTTTACTCTGAGGAAGAATACTGGATAATTCGAAAGCTTGCAAACTATTTTGTGATCTTTGGTTGGCTTAGTAAAGGTATTTCCCTAATATGGTTTTTGACCTTGCAAGGGGCTATTGGGATGGACTACAAGGTTTTAGTGATTTCTCTTTGTATTTCAGGGAGGGCTTTAAATGTGTTTGCATAGTTACTTCACAGCTGGCTGACAGAATGTGCTAGCACTGGGCAGAAATATGCCAGATTTCGATTGTGTTTTCATGCTGTAGCTCTTAATCCTAACTCCACTTGCTTGGGAATAAATCCCATTGAATTTGGTAGGATTTACACCAGAGTAGACATGGTCCTTCGTCAGTGAGCCATGACCATTTCCTGTCTGCTGGCCACATTGTTTCTCTCTTTGGATGTGGATCCAGGTTTTTCGAATCCCCTTTTCCTAACATTTGCTGCCAACAGTAGCTTGTAATTCAGAAAAAGAAGTTTTGTCCTTACTTTCCTCTGCTTGCATCTCTCTTGCACATACTGCTCTGTTTCCCCAGGCTCCAAATCAGCTTTGATGTCTACAGCAGATACATGTATCCCTCTCTCCCTCTTTAATTTGCCAGCGTTTTGGGGTTCAATCCTCTAAAATTAACAATGATGATGATAAAAAAAAATACCTAAAGCTGGTCTGTTGGCTGGACCAAGATCTGCAGCTTTAGCTACACCAAAGGGGATTAGTCTTGTTTATACAAGGCTTGTGGATTCATTTTTGAGCTCCTGTAGTTCAAGTAATTTGAGGATTTGGGTCTGACTTCCCTTTTTAGTATATCATATTGCTCTGTCTCCCCTTGCTGTTTAAACTAACAAGAGGGAACACAAAACTGCTTTTGCAGAGGCTGTTTTCCTTTGTCTCCCCATCTCCCCATTTTCTTGGATTTAGGAGGTTCTAATGATATTAACCCCACCCCCCCAGCTCTCTACCTGAAATGTAACTATTGTACCCTTTTCTTCAATTGGAGGCATTTTTTTATGCTGCAGTTTGAGGAGCTTGCATTTGTACTTTGCATTTCTAGCTTTCAATCACATTTGTTGTTTTGTATATGCCTGTAACTGGTTGAGAGTCAATTACGTATTTGAATTTGCAGGCAGTTGAACTGAAGAAAGTGACTTTGGAGCTTTCATCTCTTCTACCATTTGGGATTTAATTTGCATCATCTCTGGCTCTATAAAAAGAAAAAAAGTCAAACCCACACACAACATGTTGTTGCGCAGAAAGACTTCCACTCCCTGGCTGTGCTATTAATGTTAGCAATCAGGAAAAGCCTTTGGGGGCTGCAGATTCTCTGTAGTCTGATGCTGCTGCTGCTGCCGCCACCGCCACCACCACTGCTGCTAAGGGTTTTGGTGCAGGGAATCCAAACTGCTGCCTTTTCTGTCGGCTGAGCTCTTCACATCTGCATGTCTCTGCTGCTCACACACACTCCATCTCCCACCCTCTCTCCATGGACTGATTGCTGTTGAGGGAAGACGAGCCTGGCCAAGTGATTGTTTTTGGGAGGAACGCAAATTGCATTTATTTTGTCGTATTCTGGAGGATCTGCTCTGAGGATAATCTTTTTTTTTGCTGGGGGGGAAAAAAACATGACGTCGCCAGCGAAATTCAAAAAGGATAAGGAGATCATAGCTGAATATGACACTCAAGTCAAAGGTAAGCATACATATATATTCTTTAATGTGAACATGGTGTGTTTCTGTGTGTGTTTCAGTCTGCAGTTGCATATGCAGGCGCTCATGCTACATTTTTGGGTGTGGAAGGGGAAAGCATTTGCAGATCGCCAGGAATTTGCAGTGCTTCTCTATAGTGCAATGTTAGAAGGGATTGACAGTGATTGTTGCTTCTTTGGGTGGGTTCTTGGTGTATCCACCCCACTATCTTTTTTTTATATAGCTTTCATTTTATGGCACTTTTTTTGCTTGCAAGTAGGTTAGAGGAATATAGAACATACATTTGTATTTTTTTAAAATCAATTTTGATTGTAATTGCCCCCTCCCCCTGGGGAAATGTATGTATTAGCCTAAGAAGCTTTGTTGAATTTCAGCTTAGAGGAGCTCTTTTACAGCTGTATGCACCAAAAGGCTTTCACTCTTCATCACCGCCTTCTGTGTGTGCCTGTTCCACACACCTCTGGCAGCTGGTTGCAGTGCCCTTCAATTGCAACTGCATATATTCAATGATAAAGTGTTTTGGTGATTCTGTGCTCTTTTTGCAAGATGTCCATTAAAGGCTGTGCCATGTTTGCAATGGCAACAACTTGATAGGCGTGCTCCATGCAAAAAATACCTTGGTGACATTAGGCAAGTGGGTTTGGTTTCACATCCTCACATGTGCTGAGTGACACAGTTAGGAGACGCTTGCCTAACCCTTTTGTGTCTGCAGAGTTTTCAGCACTACTTCATACATGTGTTCATAGTGAGACCTCATTCCTGCACGTGTATAGCCTGACACAATGCTTCTTGATAGGGGAACTTTGAAGTAGTCATTTTAATGAGAAGTCCTTGATCTGCTTGTCTGTGTAGGATGGCATGAGAGAATGATTTCGAGTTTGTGGAAAATTAACTGGCTTCTAATTGTGAACTACATGTGCTCAAGGGCTTTTCTGCTCTCATTAAATAATTGCAGAGCTATTGTGGATTCGTGGCCTCTTGATATGATATGATCTGAGAGAGATCACTGTCTTCTCTATGTTTTAACATACAAAAAGCAATACTTTTTTTTTTAAGGTTCTGCTTCTTGGACTAAATATGGCTTTTTAATAAAAGTGTTCTGGGATTCCTGGGTTGGAGGCAGTAGCCAGTGAAAGCATTTTTGTCTTCCACTCCCCCCCCCCCAATGGTAATGTAATCTTTTGCTTGGCCAAGCTAGCAACCAAGGTTTTAGGAATTCCAATAGCCAACAGGAGGCATTGATTCAGAAAAGCATGGTATCCATCCAGCAATAGATTGCTGTCTGGGCTGGAAGAGTAGGTGGTCTTAAAAATGCAGTTTTCCAAATATATGTAGAGACTTGGATTTCCTTTGTTTCAGGATACAGCAGGGAGGGTTCCCTCTTCCAGCTTGTTGAAACAATGCAAAAGGCATTTGTTCTGTTCTTAGTGACTCAACCTACTGCTCAAGTATTGTAGCTTCCATTCTACATGGTGGTCTGTATTTAGGGAAAGGATTTCAGGTATGCAGAAAAAAAGAAAAGTCTGCTTATTTTAGCAGTCTGTTTGCAGTTGCAGTGTTAAATAGAGCCTGGCATTTGGATAGGAACTCTGATTAAAAAGTATTGTTACTTTTTCTTTTTTAAGAAAACCACTGCTGTTTCAGCACGGTTTAAAGTGAAGCTCTGTCCCCTGCTGCTAAAATATTTAAAATTCTTATTAAAAATGACAGATTTTGAACATGGGACTAAATCATGCACATTAAACCTTTCCATGTATGCAATCCTCTAACACTGAATGAATATTGCCAATGGGGGAAATGTTATTGGTGGGTGGTAGGATGCTGGAGGGGAAAAAAAAACACCTGGCCCAGTCATTGCAACTAATTGGACAGCCTCTCTCTGTTTTGAGTCTACAGGACACTGACCATGTGCTTTCCTTATTTCTTGAGCTCTGTTGGAAATTATGGGCAAGACCATTTTAAATAGTGAACACAACTTGAGAAACAGGATTTCTTTTCAGCAGAGTCTGAGAGCACTGCCAAGTTTTACAACAAATACTCAAATGGTGGTGTTTTATATTGTAAACCGCCCTGTAGGGGTTGATGAAGGGGGGTATAGAAATTTAATAAATAGTAGTAGTAGTAATAATAAAAATAATAACATGCATGGAATAGTCTGATGAGAGATGCTGTTCTATGGAAAACAGACTGGTAGCTCCTCTTAGCATGGCTATAGCAATTTCAAGGAATTACCTGGACCTGAGTAGCCACTTCTAAAATGCCATCCTATGCAAGGCAAGAGGAGAGAGCTGTCCGACTCTGTTCTCTGCCTGTTTCAAACATACACAGACTTCTCCTTCCCTTTTTCTTTTTGCTAGAGTTTGGGCAAATGGGCTGGTTCCCCAGGAAGAATAGTGAATTGCTACTTTCCTATGATAGTTTGTTTCCTCCACCTGCAATTCTTCACTTTTCTTATACCGTAGTTCTATACTTTGATGCATCAATTTATAGTGGTACCTTAGTCCATTCTTAAACCAAAGCATTATTAAACCAAGGTGTCCTTTCCCATAGCAGCTGGGGACTCAATTTACAAATGGAACACACTCAACAGGAAGCGGAACATGTTCTGCTTCCAAGGCAAAGTTCACAAACCAAAACACCTACTTGCGGGTTTGCAGCGTTCTTAATCCAAGTTGTTCATAAACTAAGCTGTTCTTAAACCAAAGTACTTGAACTAATCCATGGTCATTCAGAAACCTATACCCCTTCTTTTAGGATTAGATTTCTTAGACAACATGCCATTCAGGTGCAGCATTTTTCTTGAGATTGCTTCCCTATTAGAATATTGTGATTGCTAATACAGTGGTACCTCAGGTTGCATACGCTTCAGGTAACAGACTCCGCTAACCCAGAAATAGTACCTCGAGTTAAGAACTTTGCTTCAGGATGAGAACAGAAATTGTGCTCCGGCGGCGCAGCGGCAGCGGGAGGCCCCATTAGCTAAAGTGGTGCTTCAGGTTAAGAACAGTTTCAGGTTAAGAACGGACCTCCGGAACGAATTAAGCATGTAACCAGAGGTACCACTATATCAAACAATCCAAATTTTCTAGTATCTCATGAAGTGTGTGTGTGTGTGTGTGTGTGTGTGTGTGTAAAACTTAGGAGTCTGGCAGACATTTCTTGAAGGGAAAGAGTCATAGAACTAAGTAGACAAGTGAGAGGAGGGATCATGTTATTGCTGGCTTCCTTCCAGGTAATTGAGAGCTGTCATAGTTTAAGCTTCTTTGAACATCTTCCAATGAGTGGCTACTTCTCATGAGGGCAAAGTACTCTGCTTATGCTCATGAATTCTCTTCATAGTATTACCTGATTGGCAACTCAGTCACCAGACCAAATTTTAAGGTTCTAGGGCACCTTGATTTTTGCTTCTCTGTCTGGTGGTAAGGAGCTTTTTATCATATGGTTGAACTGAAAAAATCAGAAGTGGTTTGTTTGGGTTCTTTGTCATTGCGGAAAAACGTTGCAATTAAAGTATACATGTGAAGTTTATTGTGATGGTTAATTAGTGGAGGAAAACCACCGTTTTTAGTGATGTGTGAATATTTCACATTAATACCTTGCGTTAGTGAGCTATCAAGATATCAGACTCTGCGAATGAAACCTCAAGTTCTAGTAGTTTTTTTGAAACTACCTTACTAAAACCTAAACATAAATGCTCTATCAGTTGGAATGCATGGTAGCTAACCACTTACTTGCACAATTGATATTACTGAAAGTCAGAGGTTTCTATCTGCTGGTTAGCTGTAAACTTAGGGAGTATAAGAGGTGTGAGCTATGTACATTACAACAGATGTTGTATGAGAAACTCCAAGCTTTCTCTGTTACATTGATGATCATGAATATTTTTGCAACTGTTGAAGTGTAAACCCATCTATGGCTTGTTAACCCATCTATCATTGTAATTCTGGGTTCTCCTGTGTCATGGAAGACTGTGATTAAAAATACATGGTGTATTCGATGATGGAATATGTTGAATAGCTGAAATGGGAGCCAGGAAGGAGAATGTTGTCTTTCTCTGAAGATAAAGAGTTCCGCAAAGCTAGAAGGGAGAGAACCATCACTTCCATATGGAACCCTCAATAATACGAGTTCCTTGTTCTGTCTGAATGCAACCACAGACCCATCTGTTCAGCACTTAATTCCTTTTCTTCAGTGTTTCCTTGCTTGATAATTTTTGTTTTTATGTGATCTTTCACATGAAATAAAATCCACTTTTAGAAAACTAGTAGAAGTTTATCGCTCTTTCCTGATTTAATTGCTCCCAGGAAAAAAACACAATTTGTAACCCTGTGAACCCAGAAAAAAAGAATGTTTTGCACGTTAATATTCTCATGGTTTTTATGGATCATGCCTCTGCTGTTCACATTATGAAATTTTGGGTGGTATTCTGGCACACAGTTCTTTCCACTATTTTCTTGGGGGAACAGAAGCGCACATGCGCATAAAGGGTGGTGACATATCCTATATCCGTTGTTGTATCAAAACATGCCCACTGGTATGAATGAAACTGAGCATGGCATGGTGCTATATCAATCAAAAAGCTACAGCTCCCTCACACAACAGGTAACACAGCATAAAAAGAATGTTAGAAGTTGGGACAGAAGTGCTAGCATTATAACTAGGACAATTAACTCAATAATCACCATGTGTAAATGAATGAACCCTGTATTTGTTATACCACCAAGGTATGCGTGATGGTATGATTTCCATGAATGGTTGTAGCTGGTGCTTCTTGGACTGTCTTAAGAGTCAAGGGTGTAGCCAGGATTTTTGTTGGGGGGTAGGCCTTTTGTTGGGGGGGGCAGAACCTCAGTTAGCTATGTATTTATTTTGAGTTTTATTGATGGGGGGGACAGCTGCCCCTCCCTGCCCCCCTTGTCTATGCCCATGTTAAGAGTACCACTATTATTTGTGGCTTAATTGTGTTAATGGAAGGTGGCGCTG